TGGACTGACGAAAGCCTACGCAGCTCATTATTTTTAATTAGATCTACCTTGTCAGTGCAACCGATTCATGATAGAGTGTCATTAACCACCGAACACTCGGCTTTTAACATCATCAGATATTTGATGCTGAGTTTTACAAATCACCTTTTGTAAGTTTGCAGCCAAGAAGCCCAGGCTCTAAGCTGCGTTGGTTCTTTGTAAAGTTCCTTTTCTCATTAATACTCTGGTTCATCTAGAAACCTCATAGTAAGGTACTTGTTGTCCATCACTCTCACAAAAGCTTACCTGTGTTACTTAGTGAAAGTAAGCTTGTAAAAAATTGAGCTTTCAAGCTGAAAAATGTGTGTCTGATACAAGCATGAAAGGAAACTAACCTTCAATACTTTCTATGTTCATTCAGCAACTTCATTAGACACATATATTCAAATTCTTGTTGACTATAACAGCTAATCAGTTAATCACACGACAGAAACCCAATGCATTTTGGCATCTAGACATTTATTAAGAGGACTTGCTGAAATTGAAGTCGAGCATCAACATGGAAGGAGAAGGATATTTGAGTGATTTTGAATGTGGCATGGTTGTTGGTGCCTGATGGACTGGTCTGAGTATTTCAGAAGCTGCTGATCTACTGGGATTTTCACTCAAAACCATCTCTTGGGTAAAAGAGAATGGTAAAAAGAAATAAAATCCAGGGAGCAGCAGTTGTCTGGGTGTCAGAGGTCAGAGGAGAAGAGGCAGACTAGTTCTAGAAGATAGAAAAGCAATAGTAACTCAATAGTAACTCAATTTTCCGATGCTCTTCAGCACAATGCTTTAGAGTAGCAGGAGACACACCATCAGGCCCGGGGCTTTTCGTACATTTAGCGTCTCGACTTGCTTGTTGTTGACAGCTCCGCCCCACTCTTCACCTGAGTGTCCAAGACATGCCCCTGCAGATCAGATGAGACAACAACAAAGTTGACCATTGAGCTGCAGCCTAAGGTGTCCTAGTACCAAGGGCAAACAAGGACACCTTTATGTCTGAACATGGCATTCATTACAACAACGGCTATCCATCCTGAGGGCTTGCAGGAATATCAGCCCGTCACAAAACCTGCTGGTGTCGTTTTATCACTGCTCCATAGAGTGTCTTGACCAACAGTGTCTTGGTGTGGTACAGCAGCAGCATTACTCTCTGCAGCTGCCAAGAAGGCCCTGCAGGGAGTAATCAAAACAGCAGAGAAAATAACAAACATGCCTGCCCTGGATGAGGTCTTCACCACTCGCTGCCTACCACACATTATTGCACTTGAACCTGGCTGGGAAATGTACTTCTCCAGTCCATGTTTTCTAAATTCTCATAAAATTAAGCACCTCATAAAAGCATTCATCTTGATTACATATCACACAAATCACACATGAAATCATATGTATGATTTTTTTATCAGCTCTTAAGTGGAACAAGTCTGTGGCTGTGTCTGTGTGATGTCCTCCTCCTTGTGTCATGGGAGAAGGGGTCTCAGTCCATTTTCACAATCCCAACTGCAGCTCTGGTGATACAGGTCAGAATTGGGCCTAATTAAAGCGTTGATACATGCTGCCTTGTTGTTGTAGTAGTTCACATGCTGTAGATATATGTCTGTGCATTTTTCTTTCTTCTTGGGTACTGTGGACCCCTGCAACACCAGAGGAGCATCACTGAAATGCCGCAGCCTACCTGCGTACCGATCAGAACTACCTGAGCAGATTAGCCGTTTGGGTGGGAGGTCAACTGTCTTCAAGAGAAACACTCCAGTTGTGTTTTAAATAGTTTTACCCTTTGAGCACATCACTCCTGTTCTTAGATCTCTACACTGGTTACCAGTGAACTACAGAACAGAGTTCAAAGTGCTCCAACTAGTTTATAAATCACTTATTGGCATGGGACCAACATACATGACCGATCTCATTCCTGCATACAAACACCCAACAGGGCTCTGAGATCCCTAGGAAACAATCAGCTGGTAGAACCACGGGTCAGAACCAAACATGGTGGAGATGCATTTAGTTACCATGCTGCTGACACATGGAATCAGCTTCCCCATGACCTCAGATCGGCCCCAACCCTGGTGTTGTTTAACCCTAAAACCCTCATGTACTCATCAGCCCTTACATGAATAGTTTCTTATGTTGTGTTTTCTCCAGTGTAAACTGCGCTGTAACGTTGTCTTCTCCACTGTAATTCTGTGTGTGTGTATTTTAATTTGTCTTTTTATGTTGTTTTCATATCATGTCCTGTTAAGTGTAAAGCACACTGAATAGCTTCTGTGTTTGAAATGTGCTCTATGAATAAAGCTGCCTTGCCTTTGGATTGCACACTTCTTGTTAAATCAGATGTGTTATCGTCAGTGGTGCATGTAAAGTACTGGTACAGCACTGCTCTCGCCTCTGTACAGCACTTTGAATTGCCTTAGTGTTTGAAGTGTGCTACAGAAATAAAGCTGCCTTGCCTACAGTTCCTAGCAACCGTTAATTTGTGACAATCATTTAATCAGATAAGTTGGGCCGATTTTTTTAAATTCAAGTAATATTTAAGCTCAGCAGTAGGCTTTTGTTTAAAGTTGCATAGCTCTCTGCATACCAAGTGTTACATGTTTTCAGCTCTACATAACAAGTACACAACAACTTTTTTTAGCATTCTTGCTATTGCTGTGCTAGTTGTGTTTAATCGTGGTGACCTTGTTCATGTCAACACATTTTCTAGATTTCTTCCCCCTAGAAATAAAATCCAGTCATCTTATCAATCCTAAAACTTATGTCACTGCATATGGCTTGTTCTAGTTCTAATCTGCATCATCCTTCCTCCAATAAAACACATTTGAAACTTGTAGATACTACTTGTACTTGTAGATACTAGTAGATACCTACTGCCTTCTTCTGTTGAATCGCTGACTCAGCAAATGCTATTGTAACTGCAGTAGTACAAATGAAACGAGAAGTGTAAAACAAAAACACACAGATCAGCACAAGTAAAACAAAAAACACCAGAACACACAAGCCTGTTTGTCTCTCATCAGGTTTTTGGGGCTGTAACATAGAAGCAGTTTGTTTTTTCTCCTACTTAACCTGACTGGTGGTCATTTGAAGCAACACAAACAAGGAGCAAATGAAATTACCATATAGTGTCACTGGAGCTGATTTGTTTGTGGAAAGTCCCAGTTATCCCAGAGTAAGTTGTGTTCAGAATCAGACACTTTGATGTTCCCCTCAGTGGCGGTCTGAGTGGGGAGCGGGTGGAGGCGAATGGGCGTTTAAAACACAAATAAATGTCCAAGGCTCATCTTTTATGGTACTGAGAACATGCAGACCCTGGGACAATGACATGTGCTGTGGTTGGGTTAGTATGGCAGCAGGTGAAGCACCAAGACCTGCATATTGACCATTATAAAGGCTGTGGTGCTTGTAGGTATAAAAACTGCATTTATAGAGTTCTTCTATAGTCTTACTGACTTCTTAAAGTACTTCACCTTACAAGTCACATTCACCCACTCACACACACTGATTAGTAAATTGGGGGCTTCAGTTATCTATGAAATTTAGACAGACCATTGCAGAAGCTAATGATTCTGCATTGCACGTCGGTCTAGCCACGCTCCATTGGAACCTCAGCAGGCCTGAACAGTCTTGTGCCTTGCCAGTCACAGGGCTTTAGTGGTTTGCTGAGCCAATCACAGCACTCTATTTGGGGAGTGGGATGTCATTGCGACCAATCAAATAAACAATGATTGCAATGTGTCAGCTTTGACCGGCGGCGGCACGTGGTTTGAAGGAGAGGCGAACAAATAAATCAGGTTGAGGTGGCTTTATTGCAACATGTTTGTCACCAACACTCACTGCCTTTTATAACTAAGTGACTGATTGGAAGAAACCATGAAGAGGGGTAATCAAAGAAATAATAACTAAATAATATTTACAGAACCCAACCACCAAAATAATAAATGGTACCAAACATTTACATAAATACAAATCATACTAAATAAATCCAAGTTCAATCAAACAGAAACTAGGTTTCACATAACTCCTCCAAGAATCACACCTCCTTATTTAAGTGGTATGCTCCAGCAGCTGAAAAGCAGCACCTGGGACACAAACTTCCCTTTGCTGCCCCGCCCTGCTGAGAAGACAATACCAGAAAGGTGAGTGAAACTTTGGAGATCAACTTAAACACAAATTGACATTTAACAAACATTTCCTCTTTACACAGGAAGGGTGGCCAGTCCCTCTGCTTCTAAAGAATCTGTTTTAAATGTCCAACAAAAAATAAATAACTTCAATAACAAAACATTTTGTCTGTAACTCAATCAGAAACATAACAAATCATAATGAATGGAACCCCTGGTCTCCATTACACAATGGCTCATTTGAAAAAGGCATTGGTATTAACTTTGGACTATTTGGACTTGGGCTTTTCTTTGAGTCAAGAGCAGGTAGAGGTGCTTAAGTTCTTTGTTTAGAGAAAGGATGTGTTTTTGTCTTCTCCAATAGTGTATGGCTGACTGCTTTAATGACTGACATCTGGATCGGTGTGTAGGTCACGTTTGTTGTCCAATAGAATGAGGAGACAGTTTAAAAGACAACTGTAGATTCCACCCGACGAGCTCAGTCTATGGGTCATGGCCAGACTATAATCACATGTATAGGATGACTCGCTAGACTAGAGGTCTCTATCTTCCCCAAGGACACTTTGGCAAGTGGTTTTGAAAGCTAGTATATTCCAACCGAACCACAGACACGCACAATGTATGAATGTATTTGAATAAAAATAGTGTAAATAACAAAGTATGAGACTTCCCACAGAGAAACATCAAAAACAGATGTTCAGTCAAATATAAACCAAACTGCTAACAGCATCACACCGTAACAAATCTCAACAAATACAGCATTGGACAGACAGATGTTCGTATCGACATCTCATCATGCCGTTTTTCTTCATGCATTTTCACCTCTTCTAACCAAGTCAATTTGGTCTTTCACTTCAGGACTATGACGATGGCTACGGAACAGCATACGATGACCAAGGGTACGAATCATATGACAACAGCTACAATAATCAAGGACAAGGGTATGTTGTTTTTATTCTAGCAATCTCACTGTTGTGTGGATACACTAAAGATTAATGAAACTGATTTTTTTACTTTGGATCAAACTGATGGTCTTTGTCGTGTTTGTAATGACGAACCATTAACTGAGAAATCAGTGGGGAAATGAGATGGGGATCTTTGTCTGGTTACCAGTTTAAAATTCCAGTTCTCACATAGTACAAATGATTGTATTTTTACTGTGTAATGCTAAGATGGGTAACGTTTAGGACAGGAGATCACACCGTGTAAACAGGTGTTTTCAGGCTGCAGTGAACACTTCAGTGCTGTTTAAACATCTGAGGAAATTTGTTATTTTTTCCTTTCATTGTACCATTTGGGAAAACTAGTCAGTACTTTTTGCCTGAAATGTTTTTTCTGCTATTGGTTATCATTTGGTATCAAGTGGTTTGCATTTTCTAGTTTGTGAGCATGAAGGGGACAACCCTTGTACACACTGATGACTACAAAGCTGCGTTGCATAGCGAGGAGACCAGAGAGCACATGCAAGAAGGTCTTCCTATTAACATTGAACTTTTTGGCCTTTAATTTAATTTTGGCCCTTATCTTGAAAGGTTTAGACAGCCCTGAGCTACATCGATATGTTTATATTGATCTAAACAGCTCAACTCATTCACTGCCAGTGACGACTGACGTCATTACTGTGTGGGCATCGGAACGAGCCCCCGCGCCGTGAGTACAAACATCTCAGCTGTAGCACCCCCAAAGTTGATTTGGGGGTGACTTGCTCTTTAAATATCCACTTATGTGCAAAATTCTGCTATGTGTTTGACATTTTTATTGTAAAGTAAACTGTCATAGTGGTGCTGTTCTGTTTAGCACAGGGTCTTGCACAGCTAAATGTAGAATATTGATTTTTCTTATATCCACGCCACTATCACACTCTCCAGGCTGCACAAGGTCGAGGTTTTTGTCCCCCACCGTGTTCCATCAGCTCACAGTGTACTCAGACATCGATGTTTGGCAACAAAAAAGAAATTAAGAACGAAATTTAGCAAAATGCACTAAGAAAATAGACTAAATTGGCAGAAGCTAAATCTGTATTTTGGTGATTGATGTTTTCGTTCGTTTTAATGGCACATTTCTGTTTGCACAGCTCACCCAGTTTCCCATGTTGAATTGTAGAGGTTTGGGTGTACAGATGTTCAATGTGAACAACACGAACGCCTCCGGAATCGGCAGCTGCATCTTTTAAAAGCAGAGTCCTTGGGTGTTTTGGTGCAGGGTCTGGTGACAGTGCAGGGAAAAAATAGAGGCACTGTCACTTAGACACTGGAGGCTCCATGGACTTGAAGAGATTTTCATATCTGTTGTCTGGTGGGAGATAAAACAACTAATAGGGCCCAGACACAAAAGTGTATGCCTCCAGAGACGGATGATTCACTTTATTCAGCTCTTGTTTGTATCTTTGGTCCTGAATTCGGTTGTAATGTTGATGTTTTTGCTGTCTGACGTCATGTAAGTTCACAAATGATTAGCATCATGGAGTCTTCGCGACTCGCATTGATAACAATTTGCTTGTCCATGCAACAAAAACATTGTACGTTTTCAAAATGCTGCCCTGCTGTGCCTTGTGATGGCTTAAGATGGGTGATTTTGTTTCTCCTCGAGCTCGAGCAAAGTCATAGCAGGTCCCAGCTGTAGCAGGGCCCTGTGGTGTGTGTTTATTTATATGTATGTGGACAAGAAGGCTCCTAACAATGTTTGTTGCTGCCTAAGGATCTCCCAGTCACCAGTCTGTGCTCCGACAGCGTGGCAGGATTTCAGCTGCTGGATAATAACAAGCAGAACAATTTACAGTCTTTCTGTCACGGCTTTACCCTGGTGGCTTATGGTCCAAACAGTCCTGCCATTTGTGAGCACAAAATTAAAGAGAAGGGAGGTCCAAACGCTGCATCTCTTGAACGGGATTTAATGCTGCATTAGACACGTTAACTAACAAAACGTGCATCTCCGTATGAAATACATGCAAATGCAAATGATGGAGAGGCATACTTGCAAAGTAAAACCTCAATCGTCTACCGATTGAACAATACTTTGGGCAAAATAAGCAAACTGAAACAAATGTATTCCACACTTTGTATTAGGGATGCTTCGATCCAGTCACATGATCAGAAATCGGGCCAGATCACATGATTTTTCAAAGGATCCGGATTTGAGTCGAAAAGATCGGCCATAACCTTATAAGCATGACTTTCAAGTCCATTCTCGGATAGAGATTTCAGTGGTAACAATGGCTTAGTTAGCATTTTAAGAAGTTACTCTATGCCAGTATTCATTGTTTCACACATGACAACAACACCGTAACATCACACAATTTAAAGCTGCAGCGGCTAATCTGCTAAACAAGCTAGGTTTTAAACACAAACACAGAACTCTCATCATCCCTGGGCCTTGTTACCCTGATACTGGAACAACGAGAGAGCGCTAAATCCCAGCCACACTTTTGTAGAACCAAACATCTTTCATTTTCTGCAACTTCAATGTTTTTTCTTTTGATAGTTTGTCCTAGAGTTGAAGTGGTAGCAGCCGGCTGTTTCTCCTTCGCTGATATTATTGAGCGAAGAACCTCTCACACAAGCAAAGTGTGCATATAGATTGGAGTTCCCAGGTAACTGAAGTGCTGTGGTGTGGTGAGACCGACAACCAGATGGTCCATTTGTTGGTTTCAAACCGAGACGTGTTGTTGGCTTCTCCAACTGGAAAACACAAATTAAAAGGTTCAAAATGTTATTGAATCCATAATTACTTACACATCCAGTAGCTATCCTTTGTTCAGTTAGTTAGCATTTAAGCAACATTTCATTAAGAGCAAGCCCCATGAAAAAACTTTTTTTTACTTTAATCTAAACATCAAAATAGTTTTCTACACCTATTTCCTGCATTAGCTTCCGATAGAAAATAGACGGGGAAACGCTCAGGTCGGAAAAAGCCACACAGATCTATGTCACACGGTAAATTTTGCATTCATGGACTAACGTATTTTGGCTTCATTGATTTTGTGGCCAGGAGAGAACAGTGCACCTCTCGGCTAGTAGAAGCTAACTGTTAGCGATAGCAACTCCACAACATGATGGAACTCGTTCTGGCTTGTGTTATTTGAAGAGATAAATCAGCACTGTCTCTAAATGAACTAGATTTTTCTATCAACTTTTTAAAGAGTCAATGTGTAGTTTTTACCAGTAATTTCAGGAAATATTTATGAAAATGTTGTTGAAAATGAATCAAATGTGGCTCAGTTGTTGAAAAATATTGGCGACTTTGTAACGTATAGAGCTCCGGACGTCACGTGACTCTCAGAGTAGACGCCACGTTGGCAGGCAACAAAGATAAACAAAATGAACGGGATTGGCTTGGATTTTACTCCGTCGGAGTTTACTTCACACTTTAAAGCCGAAGAAATTGTTTTATATAGTCAGAAATTAAATAGACTAAACATCTCCGACCCTTACCGTGCCCCTGGGATACTTTTTAAAAACGCCAGAAGCTGTCGGAGCGGACTTCTTACTGGACCTGGCCGGGGAACCCCTTGGGATTCCCCCGGAGGAGCTGGCCCAAGTGGCTGGGGAGAGGGAAGTCTGGGCCTCTCGATGCTACTGCCCCCGCGACCCGACTCCGGATAAGCGGATGAAAATGGATGGATGGACAAATAAGAGATTTACACGTAAGTAGTTTAAATAGAGTGCTGTGCTGTTTGAATGTATAAACTGAACGCCAAGAGAAATCACTAGTCTGATTGTTTTCCGTGAATAAAATAAAAATGTCAGGCAGGAGCGTCTCAGAATCTGTCTGAGATCTGTCTCGGTGAGACAAATAACAGCAACCCAAAGTGCTTTTTATGTGTGATCTGACAATTGATCAGCCATTGCTTAAAAATGAAATACAGCTTAGCCGGTTAGTTGCTGTGATCATAAAACACGTAAACGGCAGCACGCAGAACTCACGAGGCAACGTTTTACGTGATGTTTACTTGTTGCTATGAGTAATAAGACAGAAAAAGCCACGCCAAAATAAGTTTAGGAAGCCCACTAAGAATCGTAATAAAAGCATTTAAAATAAACACCATACACAGTTGAGGAAACGTTGGTTTAAGTACCTGATATGAAGCGGTCGCTGCATAAGTGAAAACCTTTACTCTCGGGATCCCACAGCTTCATTTTCGCCCGGTCACTAGCGCGTTTTATTACAATGATCCAACGTTTGCGGCGCTCCGGATCTTGGGGAATCCTGTAGATGCCTCATTCCTTATGTCGTCCGCGTCTGTTCTGCATTCTGGGGCACAACAGGAATCTACCATATTTCCTGTCTGATTGAGTTTTCTGACAATAACAAATAGTCCAGCTGCCGGCTTCTGCCTGCCAAGATGGCGCCGTTTCGATTTGAACTGTTGCATGCCGGGAGAAGTGACGTCAACTCCCGGAGCTCTATAACCATAAAAATCAGGTCTAAAATACATGACAGTGGGTATAAGTCGCTGGGCGACGCCATGTTAGATGCCAAGTTTCCTTCTACCGGAGCCCATGAGGACAAAATGCATTTACTGATTTGTAACAAACGGTTACAAAACTTTTGTCATTCGGGATCCCAAATGTTGTTTTACACATTTACCTTCTTCAATTGCTGCCAGTGATGGATTAGGAGTCTGATGTGCTTGTTATTTTGCTAAATTTGCACTCCTCAGGGCTTTTTGACCCTAATGGGCATCCAATGGTAAGGTCTTACTCCAACACAAAAATACTGCTTGCTTGCAATGATGTAGGTATCTACTGCCCCCTATCGCCAGGAAAAATACACACTGTCACTTTAAGCAACAGTTTGTTGTCTTAATAACTTTTTCACAAAATGCATTTCTTGTTTTTTAAGCATTCAAACAATTATGTCACATTAACAACATAAACAACAACAATAATAATAAATGCATTATTATAAAAGGAAGATGTACTGTAAGATTATAAAAGCATAA